CTCTAAAGCGTATCGATTGAGGGCAGCGATTGGAGGGTAGAGTCGAAGTGTTTCGGCAATACATGCCTCCAAATACGGCATTTTGGAGACACTCTCGTAATCATACTTTCCGTCCAAACCATTCACTTCTTCGTACAGTTTTTGCTGACACTTCTCATTGAGCGCCAGATTGTACAACACTAGTGACAATAGGGCACCAGTAGTCTCATATCCAGCTACAAAGAATGCAAAACTCGTGGCCAGTATATCGACATCAGTGATCCCGTTGCCCGGTTTGCTATTACTATTACTTTCAATCAACTGAGTCTTTCCATAAATGTCTTCATTCAAGTCATCCACTTCTGGTTCCTTATCGTTGTCCACATTCTTCCGGTTCAGTGCATTAATCATGAGCTGAAGATAATCTTTTTGCTGCACTTTCGCTGACTTACGTCTCGCCAAAATCGACTTAACCTGAGATCAAATGATTTGTTTTAATTAATACATATACCAAACAGAATATTCTGTGACATATGGATGACTAACCGCTTGACCAAAGAATTGTTGAGCCGATGGATCAGTGAATTGAAATCCTGTCCAATGGATCAGTTTCTGTGATATACTCAGGAGTATACTGAAGACCCATATCCTCCATACGTTTCCACGAAATACTTTGCGGGCGTTTACTATGAATTCATTGGTTTTTTGGTCGTTATAAACATCTATTTTGGTGCCGAAAGCACACGAAGCGATCACATCCATCGTCAGGTTTCCCATCGTTTTCTTCATCTCCACGTCTTCTCCAGACATGGCTTTTGGCCGCAGATTATCCACCAGTTTGTGGACACAATCAATGATAATGGGATGCATTGATCGCATCTTTCCGCTCGAAAACGTCGGACTTATCTATTGATTGCATTATTATTAGTAATAATTAATTAATCGGTATTTAAATACAACTCACAATCGATCGCATAGTCTTCCACTCGTCTCCAATCAGGTTAAACAGTGACCGGTCTTGCAGTGGATCTCCAAATGTGAAATCATTTCTATTGACAAATACGTGGAAATCCTTTATATTCATCGTCTTTATGAGCTCCGGATCGGCGATCATAAGCGAAGGTCGACTGCCTATAAATGTGCTGTTTGTGTGAAAAACAAAGATTTTTAATACAAGTTATAATAAATGTAACTCTCATTCAAACCCATAAATCTTTCCATATTTGCGGTAATTATCAACAAACATATCCGGCAATGACTTGAAAAATATTTGCCATAATGTGCCCAAAAGTACGACAGGTTTGGGACCTCCGATCCCACGGGAACTCCAGTAATTAAAATTACGTGTTAAGTAGCTATTGATAAATAAAGTTTTGAGTTAACAAATGAATTTACTTGAATACTCTATTAATTACTTACAAATAAAGTATCACCAATAAAGCAATCAATAAAAACAACGAGTTCAATCCAAAAAAGCTGGCAAAAAACATTTTGCTTAAAGTTTTCACAATTTATATTTCTTATTAAATAATAAGTAAGTTAAATTTATGTCCTCATTCAATTTAGTATTTATATACTTTTAATGTAAGCAATTCAATTGCATTCACTGTAATCTAATCGCAAGTCTGATAGTATTTAAAACTTTTTCACATCAATTATTATACAATTATTATTAATGTAATATGATTTAATTTCAAGGACTTATTAATTATTGAATAGTTAATAATGATTTATAAAATAGCTTTATTATGAACAATATGTTAAATGCAATAATCTCTGTATTGCTACGTTAATTAAATTTGGCATTCAAATATATGAATCAATTTGTAATGTATAATTTTTTATAATAAATTATATTTAATACTAAATTCAGTGCTATCTTATCAATGATAACTTGCGTACATTTTGGACTGTTTTCAGTACATTATGGGCACTATTATCGCGTATGTCATGTGCAACTGATTTAATAATAAAAGTTAAATGTTTGCCAATAATTAATACTAAATGCACTCACAATATTATAGTACCGTTGAAAAAGTAGACAACAATAAAATAATACAAACCTTTTTTCAATGGCAATATTCAACGAAAATGTGCATACTTTCACATGCCCTAGGACAGTTATTTTAATAGATATTTGAAAAATTTAAAATGTTTCCTTTAAATTTAAGAGTCACAATAAAACACCTACCTTTCCACCCGGTGCCGGAGTGATGAAATTTTAATAAATTAGATAGAAAATTAAATTACCAACTTTTTTCATATCATAACTTTTAAACATTTCTATTCGTGTGAGATGTGATGCAATTTTAAATTAGCGGCCATTACTTGTAATTAAGTACAAACCATATGTCCCTAACCTTAACCCATACTTGCAATGTCTCTCTCTATCTCTCGCTCTGAATACGTGTTCAAAATTATTGTCTCTAAAAATCAGTACTTCTTATGAATAACTAACACGCCTTTCAAACAATTGCAATCATTATTTCGTGAAACCCTGGTGCTTTTCAATCACGCTACTAATATCTCTCATTATTAGTGGGTATAATCCCGGTACACCACAATTGTATTTTTTAAATCATCGCAGTGGTAGTACTTTTTGGACAGATATGTGGCGGGGGTAAGTTAGTACTTATAAAATTAGCGCGATAATAATAAATTGTATTGTACTGTATTTTGTTAATTAGTAGCTATTTGTCAATATGTAGTAAAAATCAGTTCAATTAAAATAATGGGATATTATTTTTATAAAAATGTAACTTTACAAAACCACTTATTAATAATTAAAATAATAATATAAAAAAAATATAAAATATAAATAAATCCCAAGTTAACTATTTATTTTAACATTAAAATCGTATACTGTATTTTGTTAAAATAGTTTATTTTATATAAGGGGCAAGGGGCCATTCAATAAGTACGTACGCACGGGGTGGGGGAGGGGTTCAGGTTAAATGAGTATTAAAGCGTATGTTATTTGGAGGAGGGGTCCAGTGAGGGGTCCCGCGCAAACACCAGCATGCCGTTATAAATGAGGTTGATCATTTTTACAAAAATGGCTTTATGATACCTTACCGGCATGCCGGTATAAAGTGAGGCATATATTTATGAATGGTCATGCATATGGCCGAACCATAGCGATATTAGTAAAAATTTTACTTATATTTATATGTTTTTTAGCACAAAACTATTTATACAACGAAACTAAACAATAAATTGTTAAATTTAATGAGATATTTGGGTTAAATGTATTCTCAACGTCTTTAAATAACAAAATATTAATAATTTTTAAAATATTAAAAAACATATTTTAGACCTCACTTGTTACGGCATGCTGGTATACCCCGGGGTATAACGGCAGTCTAATCAGCCTCACTTTACACCGGCATGCCGGTGTTTGCGCGGGAATACGGTATAATGTTTGTATTCTATGCTATTGTGTATGTGTTGTACAGGTGCTCAATCTGACAAGAATGGTAATCTATACAATTGGTGGGATGGGATCACTCAACAGAGATTCAATGAACGGATCAAATGTTTTATCAATCAATACAACGGTTATAACGACTCTAACGCTGGAATGAATGTTAGCTATTATTATACATTATATCGAAATATGTATTCATTTCACTATTATTTAGATCAATGGAAAGACAACTATTGGGGAGAATATTGCAGATAATGGAGGCTTNTTATTATACATTATATCGAAATATGTATTCATTTCACTATTATTTAGATCAATGGAAAGACAACTATTGGGGAGAATATTGCAGATAATGGAGGCTTAAGACAAGCATTTAAAGTATTATTAACTTACATTGATATCAATTTATTTTCCAATTAATATTACTTCTGTGAATCCCTGTGACATCCCTATCCAATAAGGCACTGGAGAACTATAGCTTCCGTAAGCAGTCATTGCCGGGAAGTATGAAGAGCTTCACGAGTGAACAGCTATTCTTCCTGTCGTTTGCAAACGTGAGACTCAATTGGATTCATAATACAGTATAACTAATAATTTTAATTTAATTTC